CTACAAAGTTCATTTGTTATGGTAGTATTTTCCTTGAAAGAAGCGCCTACTATATTCGTTGAAAGTAACGTCTAGTGTGCCAGCGATCACATAGCTATATTAAAAATGATAAAACCAAGCGAATTCGCAGCGGATTAGCAATAAAGCTCACATATTACAAAACCGAGTAAGCTACTCATCCGCCGCCCCATCACAAACTTCTCTTAAGCATGTGTGCGATTAGCTTTAAACGAGATGCAACTACTATGACTGTTGGTCTTATGGAATTCATCTTCAAGCCATCCTTAAGGATCAAAACATCGGAATGAGCTATTGCAATGACTGCATGCTTGGTAATGCATGAGAAACCTTTCATAAGCAAAGAAATTGTCTCACTGAAGTCGAATGAATTCGGTGCAATGCGAAGTCTTCTAGACTAGCAATAACGCTCAGGTATTCTTGAAGTAGGCCTCCGCAATGCTAAAAATATCGAATGAGTGCCATAATTCAATATACTAGTGGGATCACCGAGTTGAAGCAAAACGCTAACTAGAAAAATTCACTCCTCCAGATTTATTAATACGATTGAAAGGCCCAGAAGGCTCGGTAAAGAGTTAACAAGCGCAAATCACTGAGGTAACATTTTAGTTGCAAATTGGACCTTGAACTCTTTGAAAACAGCCCAAAACTAATGCGCATTCGTGTGGATGGAATCTTCGAGAGAAAGCTTAGTCATTCTCAGAAAGGAACATCCCATATTGAGGTGGATAATTTAAGGCTATTTTCTAACTTCTTGGACTGCAACAATGTTACTGCATCTACTTCATGAAAGGCGACCATCAGTTTCTGACATCTGCTTACTCTGAGACAGGAAATAAGTCTGATTTGTGGAGTTGAAGACGAGAGACGACTATGGCAAAAAACAGTGGAAAATGGAGCTTAGAAAGAACTCAATTCTGTCGATCTGGAGGGCTCTTGGCGTTGCCGTTGGTTGAAGTGTTCCTCAGCACACCAAGAGGATACAAATGAAGTAGTCCACAGAATTTAGTGCATTGGAGAACTTACTTGTAAGTACTGATGCAATTATGAACGGTTAGGCATACCTAAGCTCCGATAATGCTATCAGTTCTGCCAAAGATGACAAAAGCCAAAGTTCGACCAAAATACCTTCGCAATTACCCTATGTCTACCTGAGAGAAAAGTAAGGAAATATGATTAATAAAAGAAATATCACTTAAAATTGAGCTTGGTTACTTGGCTGTTGGTAACGAGTGATTTACTTACTGAAAGCAGATTAACTTAGTGTTTTGGTACCACCCCACTGTCATTATTAACTGTTCCAGAGTAACTGTATGGAAGGTCCGCAAATGAAGAAGTTCGAGCATAAATCAACCAGTAAACCTTTTAACGCAAATATTTCTTCGAGTAAATCGTCGAAGAATTCCAT